ACACTGCACCATCAGTTTACTGTTCAAGACATTCAACCAACTTCAACTGTCTTCTATTTTATTTTCATTTATTTATTTTTTATTTTTTGCTTAAATATATGCTTGAATTTTGGAGTTCTCCTCTGTTGGTGGCTATATCTGGTTTTTTCATTTGCTCGTCCAAAAAATCAACATCCTTTCTGAATTTTATTTTTAGATATTCAGATAGAGACAAAATCATGAATTAGCGCTTGAGGATTGATTGGTGATCGATCCATAATATCTTTGATGCAAATTTACAGTAAAATTTTTTATCCGGTTATAATGAAGAATGTTTTTTTTCCCTCTTTATTTTTTAATTTTTCTTGTCTCTCGTTTACCAAGAATAATCGGTACAAGTCTATTTTTTCTTTCCTAATTGTTGCTGTTTCTACTTTTTGCAGGATTTATACAAAAAAAATTAAAAACTTTGAGACATGGGTCGTCGTAAATTGCCTTTAGAGCTTATTCCCAACGAGAAAGCACGTAGAATCACCTACGAGAAGAGGAAGAAGAGCATAATGAAGAAGGCCCAAGAGTTCACCACCCTATGTGGTGTCGACACATGCATGATTATCTACTTCGTCCCGAGGGATGCGCCGCCGGCGCCACGAAGCCCGAGTCGGCCCGCGAACCGCGAGAAGGTAAAGCGCATCATCGAGCGGTACATGAGCGAGGGGGCGGACCGCCGTACCAAGAAGACGGTCGGGTTGCTCGACTTCTTTGTGAATCGGAAGAGGAAGGTCAACACCGAGCTCGCCAAGGCCCGACTGGCCAATTGGAAGGCCGAGTACCCGATCTCAGAGGCATTGATTGAGGGCCTATCCAAAGAGGACCTAAAGAGGCTATTGGGCTCTCTGGGGCACAAGCTCGAGGCGGCCAAGGTGAGGCTGGCCGTACTGAAAGAGGACGCAATGTGGAGATCATTGAGCCGTACAAATGATCATCACGCACATGTAAATGATCATATGTATCATCATCATCACATGCACGCCTCGTTTCAAGATGACTGCCATTTTGGTGATGTCCCTCCTGGGCAAGACTTTCATTTCGCCACCCCAGAGGGCATGATACTTTTGGAGACATCGTCGTATGGCCCCATCATGGGCAACATGCCACTGGAAGGCACTCCGAGCTTTGGGACGTGCTATGACGAGCTGATGGTCCAGCCAGCCTCGCTCCTCATGCCGCTCTCGGTGATGCAGGCTTCTTCATGAGGGGATTTTCAGTTTCTTGATTATCACTAAGATTCTGAGCAAGAAGAGCACACGGTCTGAGTTGCTTCTTCATGCTTTATTGCGTGATTTTAGCTCTTCCATTAGTTGGTTGAATTTTAATGTGTAGATATGTCAATACTTTTACGACAGCAAGGTTGTTACTATCAGGGGCGAAATACTTTGTTTCTCTCCTCATTGAATTGTTCATATTAGATAGTGAGGAGTCTTGTAATTTTTACTTTTTGGTTGTCCAAAAAGATGGACAAAAACGAAAATAAATAAATAAAATCTGGCGGGATGTGGTTTTGCTCATTTCCATTAACCTCTCTGGATTTCTTTTTCTATTATTCCGAAAGTGTTAACAGAAGAGCCGTGAGATGATTTGCTTCAGAAACACAAATTCAGACAACTATCAACTATCAATAAAGGCTTTCAAGGACAAAGATAAACATAACACACTCCCAAGTCACAAATCCAAGTTGTTTCATCGTCCACTCTAGTTGAGTTGCATGCGAGTGCAAGCTGGGGAATTACTGAGAAAAAACTTGTTATATAGTAAAAAGAATGACAGAGCAACAGCAATAATTTCTGAAAACATGGAGAGTCTGCAATGCGCAGGTCTCTTGTTTTTTCCACTATGAAAGGGCAGTTCCTCAGATTATAGAACGACATCCCTCTCCATCTCTCTCGTACTTGTCTCCTCCAAGAAAGGACAGATCAACGAGACTCGCTCCCACCGCATCTTCGCTGAAACCAAAACGTCAATCACTCAAACTTGTAATGGCGTTGAGTTTCAGAGCCATTCTTCCAAATGGGACACGCTCACTTGCTGCGGTTGTCGCTCTCTCTTCCACTTCTGTCGGTCCCGCGGTGCCGAGCCCGAGCTCAAGTCTTTGACCCAAGGCTTGCTCAAATCGGCCAGGGACCCGGAGTTCTTCCAGTGGATGCGAGACATCAGGAGGAGGATCCATGAGTAGCCAGAGCTCGGGTTTGAAGAGCACCGGACGAGTCAACTCATTAGAGACGAGCTCGACTCTCTCGGGATCAAGTACAACTGGCATCGTCGCTTTCATGGGGTGCGGAGAGAAGCCGGTGTTCGCTCTTAGAGCCGACATGGATGCTCTACCATTGCAGGTGAGCGATCTTTAATGACATACCCGAGTCGAGGTTATGTCAGTGTAATGGGTTTTGGGTTATGTTCTTTGGTACAAACGGAGGTGAAGTGTTTGTTCTTTTGTCACAACGCGTGAAAGCATGTCAAATGTGGGAAAGTGCTTGAGTAAAAGTAATTAGTCGGTGATGTCTGATAGTCGAACAGGGCCATTGGTTTCAAATGTCAACTGGGGGCTAAGTTCTCGAGTAAAAGTAATTAATAAATTAATCGGTGATGTCTGATAGTAGAAACAGGGCCATTGGTTTCGGGTATATACGTGTGGCTAATGTGATTGATTTACCTGTAAGAATCACAGGTAACGCGGGTCCTTGCCGAAATTTAGTAATTTGAAGGAGGGTGTCTTGAAATTTCGTGTGAACCATTAGTAAATGCAGAGTAGTTCATGTTTTTGACTCTATGCTGTCTTTCTAATATGCGTTGATGATGACATGAAGGGACTGGTGGAGTGGGAGCACAAAAGCAAGATTGGCACGAGTTCATACAGCGGAGACCGCCAACGAGACTGTTCAGTCTTCGCTAATAAATCACACAGCATAACACCTGTAGCTCTGCTAGGCGTTGTGCCCACCCTGAATTTGGGTACAAGATCTGTTCATATCTGAATATTTCCCAATCTACTGGGCATTCAGCCTCGTATTTTTCATGATATTTTCTCTCCATTTATATCTAGGTCCTCATGCAAATAAATCTTCCATACAGTTGTGACATTTATGAACTCATGCAAATGGATCTTCCAACAACATTTTTAGCATTACTTGGATACATATAGTTTTCTTCTGGAAAATTGTACACTAGATATCACACTAATTATCAAGCCATAGATGTTCTTGTTGAAGAACAGAACAGTAATCAAAAGGCATGGAGGATAGATTAGCAGTGTGAATGAGAGTTACATTCAGTGGGATATAAACTTCGATACCTTGTCTTCTGGCGGATCGTACTAATCATAGTGAGGAAGAATTTCATAGCAGTCATTTTTCCATCTTTGTTTTCGATTGACTTTTATACCCGTAATTGAAAATTCTGCCTGTTCTTCCATATGAATCTATGTCAAGGTTGCAGTATCGCCAGAGTCCATGTGATCAGCTTACAATTGGATTAGTAATTATTTCAAATTGATAAAACAAAAAAAAGCCCTAGATAAATAACTTAGTGATTATATCAAATTTATAATAATTTGAGATCCCGCGAAATACAAGGTGGTACTGATTAATTTCGTCTTGAAACAATTAAATTATGTAGTTCGAAGCTATTGAAAGCGAATAGAAAGGAACATTCTTTTTTTGTTAAAATGGAATTGCTCTAAAAGATAATCTCTTTCTTCATCCCTTCTCTATAAATTGAAGTTCTTTCCTTTCTTCACGGTCAACACGCAAACCAGCTTCCACGACTGAAACACAACGGTCACTTCTCTCTCTTCTCTCCCTGTCTCTCTCTGTTTTGAATAGGAAGAGCAGCGAGAACAGAGACGTACATTACCTCTTTGCTCTGTCTCTCTTTTCTCCATTGAAGCTCTGGGGGTTTATCGAAATTTGCAGAGGGAGGAGATCTTGGTCGACCGCATTGTGAATCGGTGAGTGCTTTCTCTCTCCAATAACCCTAGGTTTATGTTTTGGTCAAAAGCGGTTTATTGAAATCTCCGTAGTTCTGTGGTGCCCAATTGTCTCTGTTTTTTGTACTCCTGTTCTCTGTTCTCTGTCTGCGCGCGATCTCAAGTTCTCGTTCAATTATTTGTTCTGTTTCTTGCAAAATTCGATGAAGAATCGCCCCCCCCACACCTTTCTCTCTCCTCTCTCTCTCTCTCTTCTATCTCTGGAATTGCTCTGAAATTTTCCAGCGACATTTCTGGTGAATTTATGTTATCCTCATTGTTTTTTCTCCTGGTTTGTCTGGATTCTGACATTTGGAGGTTACTCTCAATTACATCCTTTGACGGTGTTCCATTAGGGCAAGACATAAAAGGGAAAAAGGAAACAGGGCAAGAAAGAAGCCATACATAATGTTGTTTGAAGAGGAGAAAACACGGACGTGTTTACAAACCATTGATCGATTTCTTTTCACGATGTCAAAGATTATTTAGGCGTGAATTATGCAGAGGAAAGCCTCCATTGAGGACCAAGGTTGTTTGCTTGAAGTAACACTGTACCATCAGTTTACTGTTCAAGACATTCAACCAACTTCAACTGTCTTCTATTTTATTTTCATTTATTTATTTTTTATTTTTTGCTTAAATATATGCTTGAATTTTGGAGTTCTCCTCTGTTGGTGGCTATATCTGGTTTTTTCATTTGCTCATCCAAAAAATCAAGATCCTTTCTGAATTTTATTTTTAGATATTCAGATAGAGACAAAATCATGAATTAGCGCTTGAGGATTGCTTGGTGATCGATCCATAATATCTTTGATGCAAATTTACAGTAAAATTTTTTATCGGGTTATAATGAAGAATGTTTTCTTTTTACCCCTCTTTATTTTTTAATTTTTCTTGTCCCTCGTTTACCAAGAATAATTGGTACAAGTCTATTTTTTCTTTCCTAATTGTTGCTGTTTCTACTTTTTGCAGGATTTATACACAAAAAATTAAAAACTTTGAGACATGGGTCATCGTAAATTGCCTTTAGAGCTTATCCCCAATGAGAAAGCACGTAGGATCACCTACGAGAAGAGGAAGAAGAGCATAATGAAGAAGGCCCAAGAGTTCACCACCCTATGTGGTGTCGACACATGCATGATTATCTACAGTCCCGAGGGATCCGCCACCAGTGCCAATGAACCCGAGGTTTGGCCCGCGAACCGCGAGAAGGTAAAGCACATCATCGAGCGGTACATGAGCAAGGGGGCGGACCGCCGTGCCAAGAAGACAGTCGGGTTGCCCGACTTCTTCGTGAATCGGAAGAGGAAGGTCGACACCGAGCTCGCCAAGGCCCGAATGGCCAATTGGAAGGCCGAGTACCCGATCTTGGAGGCGTTGATTGAGGGCCTACCCAAAGAGGACCTAGAGAGGCTATTGGGCTCTCTGGGGCACAAGCTCGAGGCGGCCAAGGTGAGGCTGGCCGTACTGAAAGAGGACGCAATGAGGAGATCATTGAGCCGTACAAATGATCATCATGCACATGTAAATGATCATATGTATCATCATCATCACATGCACGCCTCGTTTCAAGATGACTGCCATTTTGGTGATATCCCTCCTGGACAAGACTTTCATTTCGTCACGCCGGAGGGGACGATACTTTTGGAGACATCGTCGTATGGCCCCATCATGGGCAACATGCCACTGGAAGGCACTCCGAGCTTTGGGACGTGCTATGACGAGCTGATGGTCCAACCAGCCTCGCTCCTCGTGCCGCTCTCGGTGATGCAGGCTTCGTCACGAGGGGTTTTTCAGTTTCTTGATTATCACTAAGCTTCTGAGCAAGAAGAGCACACGGTCTGAGTTGCTTCTTCATGCATTATTGCGTGATTTTAGCTCTTCCATTAGATGGTTGAATTTTAATGTGTAGATATGTCAATACTTTTACTACAGCAAGGTTGTTACTATTAGGGGCGAAATACTTTGTTTCTCCCCTCATTGAATTGTTCATATTAGATAGTGAGGAGTCTTGTAATTTTTACTTTTTGGTTGTCCAAAAAGATGGACAAAAACGAAAATAAATAAATAAAATCTGGCGGGATGTGGTTTTGCTCATTTCCATTAACCTCTCTGGATTTCTTTTTCTATTATTCCGAAAGTGTTAACAGAAGAGCCGTGAGATGATTTGCTTCAGAAACACAAATTCAGACAACTAGCAACTATCAATAAATGCTTTCAAGGACAAAGATAAACATAACACACTCCCAAGTCACAAATCCAAGTTGTTTCATCGTCCACTCTAGTTGAGTTGCATGCGAGTGCAAGCTGGGGAATTACTGAGAAAAAACTTGTTATATAGTAAAAAGAATGACAGAGCAACAGCAATAATTTCTGAAAACATAGAGAGTCTGCAATGCGCAGGTCTCTTGTTTTGTCCACTATGAAAGCGCAGTTCCTCAGATTGTAGAACGACATCCCTCTCCATCTCTCTCGTACTTGTCTCCTCCAAGAAGCGACAGATCAACGAGACTCGCTCCCACCGCATCTTCGCTGAAACCAAAACGTCAATCACTCAAACTTGTAATGGCGTTGAGTTTCAGAGCCATTCTTCCAAATGGGACACGCTCACTTGCTGCGGTTGTCGCTCTCTCTTCCACTTCTGTCGGTCCCGCGGTGCCGAGCCCGAGCTCAAGTCTTTGACCCAAGGCTTGCTCAAATCGGCCAGGGACCCGGAGTTCTTCTAGAGGATGCGAGACATCAGGAGGAGGATCCATGAGTAGCCAGAGCTCGGGTTCGAAGAGCACCGGACGAGTCAACTCATTAGAGACGAGCTCGACTCTCTCGGGATCAAGTACAACTGGCGTCGTCGCTTTCATGGGGTGCGGAGAGAAGCCGGTGTTCGCTCTCAGAGCCGACATGGATGCTCTACCATTGCAGGTGAGCGATCTTTAATGACATACCCGAGTCGAGGTTATGTCAGTGTAATGGGTTTTGGGTTATGTTCTTTGGTACAAACGGAGGTGAAGTGTTTGTTCTTTTGTCAGAACGCGTGAAAGCATGTCAAATGTGGGAAAGTGCTTGAGTAAAAGTAAGTCGGTGATGTCTGATAGTCGAACAGGGCCATTGGTTTCAAATGTCAACTGGGGGCTAAGTTCTCGAGTAAAAGTAATTAATAAATTAATCGGTGATGTCTGATAGTAGAAACAGGGCCATTGGTTTCGGGTATATACGTGTGGCTAATGTGATTGATTTACCTGTAAGAATCACAGGTAACGCGGGTCCTTGCCGAAATTTAGTAATTTGAAGGAGGGTGTCTTGAAATTTCGTGTGAACCATTAGTAAATGCAGAGTAGTTCATGTTTTTGACTCTTTGCTGTCTTTCTAATATGCGTTGATGATCACATGAAGGGACTGGTGGAGTGGGAGCACAAAAGCAAGATTGGCACGAGTTCATACAGCGGAGACCGCCAACGAGACTGTTCAGTCTTCGCTAATAGATCACACAGCATAACACCTGTAGATCTGCTAGGCCTTGAGCCCACCCTGAATTTGGGTACAAGATCTGTTCATATCTGAATATTTCCCAATCTACTGGGCATTCAGCCTCGTATTTTTCATGATATTTTCTCTCCATTTATATCTAGGTCCTCATGCAAATAAATCTTCCATACAGTTGTGACATTTATGAACTCATGCAAATGGATCTTCCAACAACATTTTTAGCATTACTTGGATACATATAGTTTTCTTCTGGAAAATTGTACACTTGATATCACACTAATTATCAAGCCATAGATGTTCTTGTTGAAGAACAGAACAGTAATCAAAAGGCACGGAGGATAGATTAGCAGTGTGAATGAGAGTTACATTCAGTGGGATATAAACTTCGATACCTTGTCTTCTGGCGGATCGTCCTAATCATAGTGAGGAAGAATTTCGTAGCAGTCATTTTTCCGTCTCTGTTTTCGATTGACTTTTATACCCGTAATTGAAAACTCTGCTTGTTCTTCCATATGAATCTATGTCAAGGTTGCAGTATCACCAGAGTCCACGTGATCAGCTTACCTATGATTATGTCTTAATTTAGAGAAAGCTTGGTGAGTAAATATAAATTTCCTGCTTATCATTGCAGTAAAATGCTATTTGTTCATCACATTAATGTCGATTTTCTCGGTCTAGGCTTAAGCATTTCCATCACTTGCATTTGTCTGTTTCATTTAACTAAATTCGTCACATTCAGGGGGAACAACCAGTTGAACATGTTCAGCATCACACTAACCGGCTTGCATTTCTTCCGGAGAAAACATTCTTTGGCAACATGTTTGGGTGAAATGGTTTGCAAGATACTGGCAGTCTTTGTAAACCTGTACATCTCAGAAATTACAGGTGGGACGGAACAGACGTATGCTTCTCAACTTCACCTGTACATCACTTACAATCACACTGCAGACATCTGGTAATGGGCAGTCATATACGTGAAGTAGGACAGCAAAAAAAAAAAAAAAAGCCACAGTTTTGCATCAGACGCACAACTAGGTCTGCTCTTTCCTGTTCCCTGATGGAAGAGTACTTGGTCTCTACAGCACTTAAGAGTGGCACTATGAACATGACTATCCAACTTTGTTGCATTGATGCCTGAAGTCTCAGCTTTCTCTTAGCTGTTCAAGGGAAGAGTGTTATATTTGGGAATGCAATTTGTAGGGTCATCCTGACCGATACGTATTGGTGAAGTGGGTGAATTGGATACATAAATTCTCTTCCGTAACTTGTTTAGATGAGGCAAAGGTTAATTTCTGTTCTGTATGATGTTGCATCCATGGGATCCCCTCTTTAAGACTTCTGATCCCATATGCTTTTAGGCCATAAGTTCATTCTACAATTCGAATTACCCAATTTGTACTTTAGATTACCAGCCAGCCACCATGAAGCAATGGATCAGTTCCTGCACTTTATAAAACTTACTACATAACAATGAAATAAGATGCATGAATTTCTATAGCAATGGAAGACCCTTCAAATTTATTATGCTCTTTGGTGCATGTGGCGTCCAAATCATGAACAGGGTTGAGGAGAAGAAAAAGTTGTATTTCAAGCATTTCACCATGTCATAGGCAATATGGAAAATGGATCGAGTACCTGTTGTGCTGCGGATCTCCTGCTTTGAATAATTCTCTGCATTCTTTTCACTCTGAGCCTGTACTTATTCAAGCATGATGGCAAAACTTAATTAGTAAGGACAAACATGTAATATATGCACGGAGTTGTTCCCTTGTATCATAGTACAATACACCAAGAGATATTATAGTAGATCTATTCTTACCTTGAGCTCCTCCGTAATCCATCTATTTTCAGCAAGCCATTGCCAATCACTCTCAGATATAGTAAGTGGAAGACCCTTGTTACGCTCGTGATCCACTTGCAAATTGTGTCTATGTTCCCTATACTGTCTTTGCATATGTTTTAGCACGAACCCGCAATCTTTCTCCGATAGTCCACAATGATTCCAGTAGCATCAGAAACAAAAGGAAAAATGCACACATCATAAAAAACAAGTAACTCAACGGAGAAAATGCATCCCATCACTCAATACATTAGTGAAAATCACAGTACATGTCTCAAGAATGAACAGTTGGATCTTGCAATGTAAAGAAGTGAGGTTTTTACCTAATCTAGAAAGGAAAAGATACCCCAAAAAAAATTTTGTATAGCCTCGTGATAATTTGCTTCTCCCTCTATTTCAGTATCCTCCACCTCTTCTTTTATCTCATCATCATTATCTATACTTAGTTCACTTCCTTTTAGATCACGACAACTCAACTCGACGAAACTTAGTCGGAGGAGATCAGTGGCGGTGACCCAACCTGGAGGACTTATCTTGACTAAACTTCATCGGAGGCGTCAATTGAGAGAAAACGAATATTTGTTCCTATAGGCCAAATGCATTTGTATCTCAATTGAATATTTAAATATTAAAGCACACATTCATCTAATAATTTATGTTTTTTGAACAGTCGACAGTGTCCCCCACAAAATCTGACATGATATCAGAGTAGGGCGTCCTGAGTTCGAATCTTTCTAGACTTCTATCTACCTCCCTAATAAATATTTCCACGCTAGTAATAGGCAAAATGACCCTTTTTCAAATAGGGTTAATATCACAAAAACCCCAAACTAGTAGACTTGTGATAAATTTACTCCGGACTAATTTTTTGATTGCCAAAAACCCCAATGACAAATTTACCCCAAACAAATTTTTTGACCACTAAAAACCCCAAACTCGAACACTTGTGACAAATTTACCATCCGTTAAATTGGATTAATACCACGAAAAATCACAAATTGGTAAATCTATGATAAATGGAGAGGTAAAATCCCAAACTGGTATACTCGTCAACTTTCATATGTCATCCAACTCAGCAATTTGACAGTAAAATTTAACGTAAACTAACGGAGGGTAAATTTGGCAAATGTGTACCAGTTTGGGGTTTTTGGTGGTAAAAAAATTAGTTTTGGTAACTTTTTCATATGTGTACCAGTTTAGGATTTTTCGTGGAATTAACCATTTTAATATTAGACCACGCCTTTATCTAATAACTTAAACTTTTAGAATAGTCGGCAGTGATATCACAAATCTCACATGGGATAAGTTAGACAAGATAGAAGACCACATGCCTTTGTCAGATTGAAAAAAAAATTGGGAGAGAGAAGTGGGAAAATATTAAAGGTAAAATGAAATATGAAAGTGAGAAACTAGACTAGAAATTTCATTTTGCTTTAACCCAATTAGTAAATCACATTTTTCGACCAAAAAAAATCGCATTCACATTTCTTAA